AATTGAAAAGTTTTGAATACCAAATTTGTTCATCTCATCAAGATATACAATCCTTATATAGGTCATTTTTTCATTTGAGAAAGTTTGAATAAAATATAGTTCAAATTTCACAAGCGTGTAACATAGTTTCAGAAAGTCTATATGAGATTCAAGAATTTATGACTAGTGTTTGATAAAACTTTCTCAAATGGAAAAATGAGCTATGTAACAATTGTAGATCTTGCTGAGATGATCAAACTTGGTATTCAAAGTTTTTTCATCTGAGGTCATTTAGTGTCTCATTTGAGCAAGTTTGACCAAGTCAAATTTGGTCAAATGAAAAAACAACACTTTGACTCTAGTATTATGAACTCTAAATGACTTCAAATTGAAAAGTTTTGAATACCAAGTTTGTTCAACTCATCAAGATCTACAATTGTTGTTTTGGTCAACTTTCCATTTGAGATAGTTTGGATGGTTCAAATTTGTGATTTTTAAATTTTGAATAAATATCCGGATAATATCCGTTTTTAAATATCCGGATATATCCGATAATTATCCGGATTATCCGATATCCGCCGGATATCGATGATATTACATCCGTATTTGATATCCGCCTAAGATATCCGTTTTAGTATCCGTATCCGGAAAAAAACCGGATATCCGAGTAACTATCCGAATAAGTGTTCATATTTGTTCGGTCGAACGGACGATCGAATAAATATCCGTGCCCGTTTTCATCCATACCCGTCGACCAAACCACCTCACCTCGACACCAAAATCTCAACTTCTCGTAGCAATCCATCGTCCGCGCAGGAGCTGGTATCGTCTTGTGGTTCCTCCTTTCTTGCTTAGCTTGCGGATCGACAGGACCTGCACGTTTAATTTCTCCAGCTTGTTGGTGAGTAATAAGCATGTATTTCTACTAGCTAGATAGTTTCCTGATCCAGTAGGCTGTGGCTGTGGCACTAGGGCATCAGCTACTATTGCTTGCATTGGTCAATTGGTGGCTTCCGCTAATTGTGTTGGTGTGGTTGTGGTTTTCACTCCCTCTACGCAGATGCATCATACTCGGATATACAGATCTTCCGTTCCGGTGGGTCGTTCCTTATTATAGTTTCTTCTTCCTTGCGAACGTACAGCAACATGGGATCTATCGGTTGCTAGTCCCTGGAGTTAGCACCGAGTGTGTGTTCCCAAAACTACTTGGGAACAATCAAATTGTTCTGCTCGCTCGTTTCTCCGATCCAGGCAGTGACTCGGATATACGTTGATCCGCCGACAAAAACACCTCACCTCCACCGAAATCTCGACTTCTTCCTCGTGACGCCATCCATCTATCGTCCGATCCGCGCCGGCGCTGGCATCGTCTTGTTCTTCCTTTCTTGCTTAGCTTGTTTCCTCCAGCTTGTTGGTGAGTAAGCATGTACTATATTTGCTTTGCAATATTATATCGGTGGGATCCGCTAATGGTGGTTGTGCTTTTTCGATCTCCTCGATCTATGCAGACCGCAGACGCATCATATATATACATACGCGGATAGATCTTCCGTTCCGGCGGGCCAGTGGGTGCATACCAACAGATCGAGGGCAACATGGGATCTCTCGGCTAGTCTCGCTGGACTTAGCACCGATTGTGATTTGTGTTGCCAAAACTACTTGGGAACGATCAAATTCTTCACCTCGCTCGTTTCTCCGATCCAGCCACAGTGAGTAAACAAGATCTTTTACATAGCTAGTTTTCGCGATCCACCAGTAAACAGCAGCACCTGCAGTATATATCGTCTAGGCATTGTCTGGACTTGAGCACACATCGTGGAACCTGCAAAACCACACGCTGCAATGTCTCTACAAAACCAAATAAACCCTCTGCTTCAGAAGCTACTGGGCACTCAGGATTTCACGGGTTTGCAGAAAAAACCAAGTAGAATATCCCGGGTGGAATGCACGTCAGGGCAGCATATCTTAGGTTTTGGTCAAAACATTAAATAAGTTTTGGGCATTTTGAGGTGGTTTAATTTCTAGCACCATATGGACCTATCTCCACAAAAACATGGCATGCGAGAGCATCGAAAGAGAAAAGATTGACCATACAAGTTTTTTTTTGGCTGGGTGCTTAGCAATTAGCAACACCGGTCCTGACAAGTAAATCCATCTATGCATTTCTTATTGTTGCTGCTAGTAGTTACCCAAAACATGTCACACTGAAGGCTGACAGCTTTAGTCAGCAGCACCTTGCCTCAATGCTGGCTCCATCCCTAATTACAGTTGGTTCTTTGTTACTCCTCCATTCCAAATTGTAAGACATTTTGGTTTTTAGATACATAGTTTTTTTTTTTGAATACATAAAAGATTTGCACATCTTTCGTATTAAGATCGAGAAATAGTGAAAATTACAACGATGCGCCATGGATATGGCACACTAGGGGGAATAGTGTTATACAATCCATTCTGCCCTCCCTAGCAGAAGAAAATCATGTGCTATTACTCACTAATTATGCTACCTAACCAGCATCGGCAGTCAGACACGCTTGCTTGCGTGGCGCTGGCGCCTCACCCGCTCTCCTTGTGGATTAGGGAAGAGCTGTCGCATTGCCTCTACATGCGAGGGGTTGAACTGGTCGACGAAGCTACTATCGTAGGCGTTCTTGGCTGCCGTGGTCGTCTGTTCGTCGAGGATCCCCATCCGCTTCATCATCAGCACCTCTCCTGGCTTAGAACCAGGGACACGTGCGTGAAAGTGCCTAGGTGACGATCCTCCTGCTACGGGTTGGCAACTTTGGTTGTGCCTGCACAATCGGCCGAGGGAGCAGCGGCGATGGCGCCTTACGCAAGATCTTGTCGGTGAAGCGCTTGAGCCTCTTGGCGGCAGAGCTCCCGCTATCAGCCGGACTGGGAGGGGTTGCCACGTCGGCGCCTGGGGGGATGGCGCCGGAGTCTGGGCGTGCCTCGGTAACCACAACACAGTGTTGTCCCTACCAGGGTGGCGTGACATGTGGCGACCGCTGCACAGGCGACAACGAAGGTGAGTCCATCGTCCACAAGAGAGCCTTCGCCGGTGAACGGTTGTCCACCAACGATGCTTCATCTTCCTAAGAGGTGGCCGTAGCAGGCGGGCACCACAGTCTGCGATCGCGGTGGCGGACAACGAGCGAGGCAGCGAACTCCTCTAGCATTGGGTCGACCCACGCGGGAGGCCCCAGCCGCCGCCACAGCTCCAACACTAGCGGATCCAAATAGGGGAAGCAAAGTCGCGTGCGCAGAGAGGTAGCAGCGTTGTCATCATGGTCGATAGGTGCACCCACTCTACTGTCCTCTGTTAGCTCGCTCTGGCGTCGCCAGTGTCGTCGTCGGACTCTGCCGGCACTCCACACGACACCATGTGCGGCCCCATCCAAGCGCGGCGCTGTAGGGTCGTGCTAGGAGGCCGTCGGGCCATGGGGCGCGTGCTAGGAGATCGTTGGGTTGCCACCACGAGCGGGCATGGGCCGCTTGCAGTCCCTAGTGAGGTGACGAAAGTTGTGGCAGCGCAGGCAACGCCGGACAATTCGCAAGTCGCTACTCAGTGCGACTAGGAGAGGCAGTTGAAGCATCTGCCATGAAGCTCTGCGGGGATCTTCTGGGCCTGTGGAAGCTGCTTTGGACCGCGGCGAGGCTCAACCAAGGTGGCTACAGGGTCCTGTCTCCTGCCGGGGGAGGATTTCAAGCCACCCATAGGCATTGGGGATGGAGACCCGTCATGGTGGCCAAGGCGTTGGCGGGTAGGGACATGGCCATCCATGGGACGAGCAGGCATGCCGCACAGCAGCTATGGGCGCGGCCGGCTATGCTTCCTCCACCTCCGGCCAGGTCCCTTATGGCCAGGGTCGGCTCCACCGTGGCCCATAATCGCGACAGGGCAAACCTGGGCGCTTGCGGTTGGCGCACTGACCGCCTTCGTCGGGCGACGAGCGATGTCTAGGTAGGTTGTGGGGTGGTCATCGTCGGACTCGTAGCCACCGTCGTCCACCCACCAGCAGCGTATGGATCACCCACCCTAGACTGGGTAGAAAGGAGCCGCGTCCGGTGAAAGGGGGGAGCTAGGGGTGGCTCGTGGTGGCGCGGCGGCAGGATGATGGGACAGCGTCCCCGGAGGTGGCTGCACCTACCCAGTCCCCTCCACGGTACGGTCACCGTCCCAGCGCAGCGGCGGCATGTAAAGTCGGATCTGGCCCAAGCGTGCGGCCCGTGGCGATCACGGTATGCCCGGCGGCGGCGGCCGAGAGGGTCTGCTTGCTAGAGGTGGTGGCCGCCACGGTGGGGTCTGGCGTCATCCGCGTCTCACGGTGTGGGTGGGGGCGCCACTGCGCAGAGGAGGTGGTAGCCACCGTGATGGGGATGGCACCGCTGCAGCTGTTGGAGATGGAGATGGCAGCCATGGTGGTGGGGCGAGACGTCGACAGTCACATGGGCGGCGCTCCGTCGCTGCAGACCCACAAGGTGGGCTCATTGGCGGCAGCCAGCGCGGTGAGCCGAGATCCCACGAAGCTCACCGGCGTTGGTTGTCGCGCGGGTGTCGGGTGTGGGGAGGAGGAGGGAGGAGGGGCAGGGGGCGGCGCTGCTGCCGGCGGCGGTGGCGGCGTTGCCAGGATTCGGCCGCCTAGGGTTACGCTACTCGTGGGCCGCACTGTACTTTACAATATTGCCGAGTGCACGGGTTCTAGATACATAATTTTTTTTGCTATGCACTTAGATATACACTATGTCTAGATACATAATAAAGGCAATGCATCTAGAAATGTTAAAATGTCTTATAATTTAAAATATAGGGAGTACATTTTAGTAGATCGGACGAAGTAATATACATGCTGGGATGTTGTGAAAAAAAGAATATATATGCTGGGAGAGCCTGGGGCCGCTCATATCATTTTTTTTATGAAAGGCCACCCATATCATTAATCAGAATACCCTAATAACAATCCCTGTTTAACACAAGTATTAAACATAATTTTCCCTCTAAAGCAGGTTCCGCGTAAATAGGAATGGACAGCCGTGAGATATTGGAGTTGGAGAACAAGCTTCTTGATCCGACCACAGAAGAACCAATTTCTCTACCCCTACACTTTTTGAGATCGATAACAAATGGTTTTAGCAATGAGCAAGAACTCGGGAGGGGTGGGTACGGAGTAGTTTACAAGGTAAATATGATGAATTCTTTCTCGCTCCAACTCACAAATAAAAATGTTGGCAGCCATATTTAATCACAATTACTCTATGTAGGGACGACTTCTCCACCATGGCGATTCATTTCTTGCTGTGAAGAAGTTTCATGATAGTCATGTAGTGAAGGGTGATGAACAGTTCCAGAAAGTTGCCACTTCTCTTATCAAACACCCAAATGTAACACAACTCCTAGGTTACTGTTCAGAATCAAAGGGAGAGATGATCAAGCTACCGAACGGGAAATGTGTTATTGCTGATAAACAGACAAGAATTCTCTGCTTCGAGTATATGTGTAATGGAGGCCTTGATAAGCATCTTTCAGGTACGTTTCAGAAACACGGGATGACGGACATACATTTATCATCTCCCTATTTTTTTTCTCATTTTCTCAAGCTTAAATTGTTAGAACACACCTTGTAGCCACAATCAGCAGAACACTGAAATATGTTACCAGCACCCAAAAAAGGTTGTTCTAGTTTGAGTCCAAATATCTTAGATTTAAACAAGTATAGTATACAATAAAGATCTTAAATAAATAAATAAATATATTGCCTCAATATTTATAGTACTAAATAAGATCCATCATGAAATATATCTTGATAGTATCTCTATTTGGTGTTATAAATGTTGATAGTCTTCTTTATAAATTTGGTCAAACTTAAATTGACTATCTAACTAGAATAACTTTGTTTTTGGACGAGCTAGAAACTAGATATTACTATTACTGCTACTCAACCACACAAAATGTGTTCCATTGCTCTTCTTGTTAAGCATGGATGACAAGATTAATTATGTCAAGAATAAGTATTTCTACAGATGAATCTTCCGGTCTTGAGTGGAACACGAGATACAAGATAATTAAGGGAATTTGCCACGGTTTGAATTTCCTTCATGGGTATAATATTATTCATCTGGATCTTAAACCTCAAAATATATTAATGGATGCTACTATGATGCCAAAAATTGCGGATTTTGATTTGTCAAGGTTGTTGGGTGAACAAAAATCCCAGACTGTCACTAAAACTGCAAATCCCCCCGGAACCAGGTAAGCTACACCCCACAACAAATACCGTTTGCTTTCTTAGTAATATATTAATGGTCTCAATTATGCTTGCACCATCTCAAACTCTTGATGTCTACTGCAGGGGATACATGGCACTAGAATACATAGACAGGGGTGTAATCTCAAAGAAAGCAGATATATTCAGTTTGGGTGTCATAATTATAGAGATACTCAAAGGCTGCAAGGACGACTATCCAGACTATGGCCAAAGCACCGAAGTTTTCCAGCACTTCACAGAGAAAGTAATAAGATGAAGTAACGAATATTCTGCATGTGTACTATCGCTCTAGCTCACTTATTATATATGCAATTGTGTAGGTGCTCAGTAATTGGAGGGACAGATTCGAAAGATCATCGAAGTATACATCGCCAGAACTACATACCCAGCTAGTAAAACAATGCATCAACATAGCTTTGGAATGTGTGCACCCTGAGAAGGAGAAAAGGCCAAATGTATCAAATATAATTGAAATTCTTAATGCAGCAGAAGGAAGTTGTGTTCAAAATGGTGAAGATTTACTGGTAGATCACCAGGTATGATACTCTCTCCATCTCCAAATAAATCAATTCCAAGAATCCGTTCAAGTTAAACTATCTTAAGTTTGACTAAACTTTATAGCAAAGAGTAACAACATCTATGAAATAAATGAGCATATTATAAAAATATATTCTATGGTATATCTAGTGATAATAATTTGAAAATATATTCTATGGTATATCTAGTGATAATAATTTGATGTGATAAATCTTGATAGTTTTTTTGTAGAAATTCGGTCAAAGTTTAAAATTTTTGACTTAAGACAACTCTAGGAATCTGTTTATTTAGGGACAGAGGGAGTATCTTATATCCCATTGAGTATGCGGCCCTTTCTGCACTTTATTGCAATATTAGACGTGAAAAGTGTCCTACAATTTTGGAATATGCTATTTTTTGGGTATAGTCATGACATGTGCCTTAGTTCTTTTTTTCTTAATAAAAATCACTTGATATGCATGTAATGAATGAAATGTTTCTTTAGTGAAAACCGACAGATAATGTGTGGGAAATATCCATAAATAACATTTCATTTTCATTATTTTTTAGTTATAGATGCAAATGTGGAAGCTCAACTATTTCTTGAGATACCAATCAACATGAAGGTTAACTTTTTAAGAAAAAAAATCACTTGATATGCTTGTAATGAATGATATGTTTCTTTAGTGAAACCCGACAGATAATGTGTGGGAAATATCCATAAATAACATTTCATTTTCATTGTTTTTTAGTTATAGATGCAAACCAGCAGTTCAACTATTTCTTAAGATACCAATCACATGAAGGTTAACTTTCTAAGAAAAAAATAAGAACCTTAATACCACCAGGCTCACTTTGTAAGATGAAGAGAAAAACAATCCTATTTTATTCTTATCATCTTACACTATAGACTTCTAGGATGAACATTAAATCGTACAGCATAATAATGGCAAATTATTGTTCCCGCTGGTTACACTACTAGATTAATATAAGCCTCACCTTATTATTCTAGGCTTCCTTAGGGTAATCAAGTATATTGATGTTAGCTAGGTGGTTTCATTGAGTATCATGTAACGTTAGAATATAATATCCCTAGTTATGTGTAATAGCCCTTGGGTCTTTGAAAAGGATATATTGTGAGTATGGCATAGGCATGCACCGTATTAAGAAAAACATACACGAATCTAGTAGAAAACACTAAATCAACCTCAAATTCTATAAGCACAACTCTAAAAGACTACAAGCGGTTGTTGCTCTCTTACTGCTCTACTTGACACACTTTAGGACACACTGATTCTTGCCCTTTATAAGAATCTAGTGCAATAAAATTGTCTAGCCTAATCCTCTTGAGTGTTCTTAATTGCTTCTTACAAGCATTGGATGGAACTCTTATGTTGGCTTGGTTGATACCTATGGCACCTTGTTTATATAGTCTCTTCCAAGGCTCTCAGACATGCAAGCAGGAGACACTCAAGTCATAATAGAATTACAACCCTAATAGCACACCTCTCTTGAGTCCCAGTCCAAGTAGAATTTGAATCATCATACAACACATAATATGAAGATGACTTAGTAGGCAAGCCATACAATGGGTTGTCTCTTAAGTTCAATTGTAAAACAACTGCATATTTCTCTCATGTTCATCTCTATCCTTCATATTATTTAAAATTCTATGTACGTGTATCAACGCAATTTCCTTTAAAAGTGAAACCACATCAAGTACCTCCTAGAAACAAGCGTAATACCCCCTCCATTCATAAATGTACATAATTTTAGCATTTAAAATTTGTCTAAAATTTAAGCAATCCTGCTATTATCCACCCATCCCTTCTCATCATTAATTAGCATATCTTTTAATTACTACTACGGTGTAATTTGGATATTTTAATTTTAATTTGTGTATGCAAATTATAACGTCTCGATAGAAAATGTAGTGGTAATTATGACTTAAATAATATTATGGTACTCTTACTTCCTTTATATGATAGGATTTGAAAATACCAATCGTTTGTTTTTTGCCTATGGGTTTAATTTATTTTAGCATAGTATTGATAGTATCTATTACCACTTAAAAAACGCGACGAGGTTTCGTCCATAGAGGTGCATCGTGTACGCGCCCGTCCCCAATAAAAAACATATCTATTATACGGCAAAAAAAAACGTTTCTGAAATAAAAACATATGCTGCAAAAAAAACCATCGTAAAAAAACCACCGTTCCCTTTTTTGCGTTTCTAATATACATTTATATGGCAAAAAAAGACTCCAAAATAAAAACATTTACGGCAAAAAAACCACCGTAAAAAAACCTGTTCCCGTCTGGAAAAAAATATCCTATATAGCAAAAAAAGTTTCCGAAAAAAGACATATACGGAAAAAAAGTTGTTTCTGAAACAAACTCTTCCACATCGAAAATCATATACGGCCAAAAAATACATTTAGGAAAAAAACTCTTCCACATCGAAAATCATATAAAGAACTGATTACAGGCTGATGAAACAAATCAGGCACATATTCAAACAGAGGAATTCGACAAGGGCTTTGCTGATGACAACAAAAAGATCATGCACATATTCATACACAGGAAATCTTTGCTGTCCCCAACGACACAGATCATGCAGATATTCATGCACAGACAAATGAGGGGAATAAACTCTCTCTGTGCGAAAATAAATTAATCTCCTAAAATCAAATAAAACTATTTTAATATGATAAAAGAAGTTTATCTAAAGTAGACATATGCAACTAACAATTCCCTCAAATTCACCTTAGATAGCTGTGGTGAACACGGTGTTGCACTATAAAATGGATTTAATCGATTTCAAGTGATCATGTCAAGATCACTATTCATACTTCACTCGACACGCGGTTGTGTTCTACCCGGTTCTGATACGAAGACCAAATCTATGTGTCCGCGTCCGATACGAAGTCTTCAAACCTCACGCGTTCGCATCCGACCCGATTCTATTACAAAGTCAAAATCTATGTATTCGCATCCAATACAAAGTCCTCATAACTCACAATTCGTGCAATACAAGGGCATTTATCTAGTATTGTAATAAAAAGAGTAAAGTCTGATTTCCCCGCTAAAATTGACATCGAATTTAAAAAACACCCTCAAACTAAATACCAGACAGCATCTCCCCTTAATTTTCAAAACCGGACAAATCATAACCCCTAAAATAGTTTAGAGTGGTTTCAATGTTGGTTTTAGTTCATGTATCACATATGTGACATGTGGGCCGCACATGTATTTAGTTTTTTAACCATGTCGTCTTTTATTAAACATTTGGACTCCTAAATGATCTCAAATGTTGAGCACTACAAATTAGGGATAGAGCATTTCTCCATCCGAGAACTAAAAAAATTGGGAAAAATAAAAAATGTTCATAATTAGAGAGCTAAAACACTAAAGAAACCACTTTGCAATAGTCAAGGGGTATTTTGTCCGGTTTTAAAAGTTAAGATATGTATGTATCTGACATTGAAGTTTAATTAAGGTGGTCTTTCAAATTCAGTACTAGTTTAGGGGTGAATCGAACTTTACTCTAAAAAAAGTGGCGGATATAATATTACTTGACTTTCGAAATCCCCATACACATATATAGTATGCCGCCTAAGAAAAAGAAACACAGGAAGTATATTTCTGTAGCATTTAATATCTGTGACAAGCTAAGGTGCAGTTAGTCTAACTGTTTCTTGCATACTTATTCATAGATTGGAGCCCAGGAAGGGGTACTGAAACGGATGTGCAGCGTGAGGACGGCTTGATGGATCACCGACCAGCGTGGATCACAAAAGGCATAATGAAATCAGCAGCTGCACCACTCCAACCACAACGCGAGCCAGTTTTGGAAAGTGTGGATGGTTCGCTTTGTTATCAAGGGTCACGAAATGCATCATTTTGGGTGGCGCACAAGGCGCTGGCTTCCTTGGAGGACAACGTGCTCAAGGACTGGGCAGCCACCATCAACCTTGGCCCAGGCGTCACGGCCCTCCAGCTAGAGCTGCTATCTGTCAAGGCGATTCTTGAGTCCACCCTCGGCAAGGTAATACACAACTCAGCGCTTGAGCACGGTCTAATGATGCTTCAAGACCTCGTATATTACACTGAGGATGTGGTGGACGAGATGGAATACTTTCACATCCAAGACATGCTGGACGCCAGCCAGCATGCCGAAGGTTGCGCCCACAACCTGGACCTTAATGTGTCGCCATCTATTCATGATGAACCACCAAAGTTGAGATTTGATAGGGACAATGCCTCCCGAAGAATAGAACATATTGTAGAGCAAATGCAGCTCATTGAAAAGAAGTTCTCTAGTGCTATTAAACTATTAGGTTCTGACTGGAGCACTACCCCAAACATTGCACAAAATCGCCCCATCACCATCTCTGAAAGTATAGAGCCAAAACTGTATGGGAGGGAGCTTTTGATGAAGTGGATCATAGATGATATCACAAAGGGTAAACACTGTCATGGCGTCCTCACAGTTATTCCAATTGTTGGTCCAGGGGGCATAGGAAAGACAACTCTTGCACAACATATATATAACAATGGAGAAGTGCAAGGACATTTTGATGTCAGAGTTTGGACATGTGTCTCACTCAATTTTAATGTGAATAAGCTGATAGAAGAGATTCAAAGATATATCCCTAAAGTTGATCGTGAAAGTAGTAATGGTACTGCTAGTGAGTTGATTGGGCAAAGATTGAAAAATAAGAGGCTTTTGCTTGTATTAGATGATATATGGGACTGCAGTGATGAGGATGAATGGAAACAGCTATTGGTGCCATTCAAAAAATCACAAGTACAAGGTAATATAATTATAGTTACAACTCGATTTCCAGCACAAGCACAAATAATGGTTCAGAAGAATGATCATTCAATATATTTGCAAGGTATAGAAAATAAAGAATTTGAGGAATTCTTCCTAGAAATTATCTTCGGTGATGATGATCAATCTAGAAAGGAGCATAGATTCTTGCTAGAAACTGGATTTAAGATAGCTGGTAGACTAAAGGGCTCCCCTCTTGCAGCTAAAACTGTTGGTAGATTGTTGAAAGCCCATCTTGACTTGGTTCACTGGACTCGAATCTTAGAAAGTAAGGAATGGGAGCATAGTAACGGCAAGAATGACATTATGCCTGCACTGAAGTTGAGCTTTGATTACCTATCTTCTCAGCTTCAGCAGTGTTTCTCCTACTGTGCTTTATTTCCTCAAGATTACAAATTCAAAAAAGAAGAGCTAATTAACTTCTGGATAGGACAAGAAGCTTTGCATTATTCACCACATGGTGAAAGTAAAAGAGTTGAAGATATCGGGCTAAGTCATTTGACTGAGTTGGTTAATTATGGATTTTTGGAAGATGAAGGGGAAAAGGATGGAAGAACTTGTTACATCATTCATGATCTCTTACATGAATTAGCACGAAAAGTTTCATCACTTGAATGCCTTAGCATAGACACTCAATCTCAAGTGAGCTCCTTACAAATCCCGACATCAATCCGCCACTTGTCTATCAACATAGATGATACCAGTGTCAACAATAGATTGACTCAAAAAAATTGTGTGGAGGATATCAATACATTGCACACAAGATTAAAAGTTGAAAAACTGCAAACTTTGATGATATTTGGGAAACACCACGGTTGCTTTGTGAAGGCTTTTGGTGATTTATTTAGGGAAGCAAAGGCCCTTCGTGTTATTTTTCTATCAAAAGCATCCTATGATGTGGAATATTTGTTGTGCAACTTTTATAGTCTGCTCCATCTTCGCTGCCTTCGAACTGAAAGTTCTTCTCTATATAAAGCCAGATTTCCCAACAAAATTTCTAGATTTTATCACATGATGGTCCTAGATGCAGAACACTGTGACATCATAGATCTACCAAGAGATGTCAGCAACCTTGTAAAATTGCGCCATCTTCTTGTTCAAGATGATACAATACACTCTAGCATCACTGAGGTTGGGAAACTAAAATCATTACAAGAGTTGCGAAGATTTATGGTCAAACAAGATGATCAAGGTTTTGAATTAAGGCAGATAGGACATTTGGAAGAGCTCTGTGGGTCACTGTGCATTGATAGTCTTGAAAATGTTCAGGTACCAGAAGAAGCAGATGAAGCAAAATTGATGCTAAAAAGCCACCTACATGAGTTGATACTACGTTGGAATGTTAATTGGTTTACTGATGATTCTGCACTCGGAAAACATGTTCTTGAAAGGCTTAAGCCAAGTCGAGATCTTCAGAAGTTATCCATTATAGGGCACAGAGGAGGCACTTGCCCTTTATGGCTGGGTTTGAACCTCTCACTCGGTAGTCTGAAATCTCTTTGTCTAGATGATGTAAACTGGAAAACATTTCCACCTATAGGAGATTTGTGGTTAGTAGATGTGCCCCGTGAGGAAATCTCAATCAATATCCCTGAGAAGAGGTTTGGAAATTTGAGAAGGCTGGAACTTATACACTTGTCAGGGTTGAAAACATGGGCTGTACATGCCCCCTGTCAATTGTTTCCTTATTTGGAAGTGCTTATCATTTGGGATTGCTCTCAACTTGTGGAATTGTCATTTTCACATTCTGCCGGTTGTTGTCAACAAGGGAAAGATGCAAATGACAATTTATTTCCTAGACTGAAGGAGCTCAAGATTAAGAGATGTCCACAACTATTGTCATTTGCACCCATTCCTTGGACTGAAGCTCCGTGCGACATTGAAATAAAAGGAATTTCATCTCTTGATAGATTGGTTTATGGAAACGAAAAGAGTTATTTGACCATTGAGGGAAAATAATAAGGATACAAATGATAGCACGGTTTGGGATGTGCTAGCTTTTCATAATCTAACTGGACTGGAGGGCTTGTGCCTGTACTGGTGCCAATCTCTGCCACTGCATTACTTACAAATGCTATCATCCCTAAGGACCCTACGTATGTCTTATCCGAGTAATGTCTTTCCACTTGTTGAAGCTGACAGCCATGTCAAATACCAGTTTCCAGTTGAATCGCTGGCCATCGAGGGCGTGTGGAGTCCTAGTGGGAAAGAGTTGACACAGCTACTTGTCTACTTCCCAAAGCTCTCAGATCTGGAGCTGTGGTTCTGTGCAAAGGTAACAGGGCTGGCTGTGAATGTGAGGGGACAGCACGCAACAGAGACGCCCGGAACAACAACTTCAGCTTACAAAGAGGATCAGCAGCAGGATGCAAGAGCAAATGTCGACGTAATAGTCGCATCAGAAGAAGCAGAACATGGCCTATTGATTTTGCCTCCCCAACTGCAGGACCTGGAGATCCATGGCAGCCCAAAGCTGCGACTCCTTGGCTCCAATCCACATGACGACAGCAACAAAGATGGACGAACTGGGCAAGGAGGAGGCCTCCGGGGTCTAAGCTCCCTCCGAAGGCTGGAAATCGAGAATTGCCCCGAGCTCCTGTCCTCATACTCTTCTTCATCCTTCTCTTCTTCTTTCCCCTTGCCCAACTCCCTGGAACACCTTAGTATTTCAGGAGCGATGGGCACGGGGGGCTCAACTGCCTCTATCAAACCTCACTGCTCTCACAAGTTTATCCATATACCGATGTGGGGATTTAAGAGGCGAGGGACTGTGGTCTCTCCTCGCCCAAGGCCATCTCAACGAATTATCTGTTCAAGGAACGCCCAATTTTTTTGTTGATTCCGAACAGGAGATTCCATCCTGTTCCTCAAAACTGCAGAGGCTCTCGAAATAGATGATGTGGCTGGATTCACTGCTGCGGCCATTCGTCATAGCCTGCTCTTTTCCTCGCTCACCGAATTGTGTATTTGTGTGGATCACAAGGTGAAGAGCCTCACAGAGGAGCAAGAGGCCCTTCTGTTTGTCGACTCCCTCGAGGATATCACATTAAGTGGCCGGCACAACCTGCAGTCCCTCCCTGAACGGCTACCTAGACATCCCAACCTCAAGAGGTTACACATCTTGACGTGCGGAGCAATCCAGATGCTGCCCAAGGAGGGCCTCCCAAGTTCACTGCAAGAGTTGGATATCATAGACTGTCCAAAAATCCAGTCACTGCCCAAGGTGGATGACCTTCCAAGCTCCCTGCGATATTTAAATGTCCGTTACAGCGGAAGCGAGGAGCTAAGGAGACAGTGCCGCAAGTTGATAAATATCATTCCAATAGTCCAAGTCTGACAAACCCAAGGTAACAAAGAGGTGGAACTTCCACCCATCAATTTCCCTTGCTTCTCCCTAACCCCATAAACCTCCGTCATTCTTGTTTCGTTTATTTGGCCACAATTGATGTTTTCTTCTAGGTAATCCGCTTGTTTCCATCTGCTGTGCAGGGCATTTCTTCATATTGTGTATTATTGTCCTCTGGATTCTCTCTCTCTATTCACAATTTTCAATTATAATAATCTCTGCACATGCCTTCCACCCTATACATCAAACTGGTAAGTGCCTGTGAAACCACCTCTGTAGTCTCATACTGTCATACAGCTATTTACATGTTCAGACTGTTGCTTATTTGATGCTTGACCCAGTTATTTATGCACTTATTAATGCCTTTTGTTTTGTGTGTAACAATAACCTATATACGTTCTCGATCAGGTGAATATGTTTAATGTACTCCTGCCTTGCAGTTCTCAATCTCAGAAGATTTATTGAAATACGGATGCTGCTGTATGTTTTTTTTTCTAATCAATGGTCTGCACTCTTATGAAAGCCTGTTCAGCAATAAATGGTTTCAGCCTTCCCATGTCTCTTGGATCTGAGAAAATATGATTGCTCTACTTCTAGTCTTCTAGGCAAGGTAATAACCACATTTCATAAAGTATGCTCTGTTTACGTTGAACATAATTGTATATACTCATTCCCCTGCAATCCAATAATGCATAATAGTGCAACCCGCTTGTTTTCATCTACTATGCAGGGCACTTCTTCATATTGTCCATTATTCTATCCTTCGGATTCTCTCTTTATATATTTACAATTCTGAATTCTAAAGAATGAATACCTCTGCACGTGCCTCCCACCCTTTACATACTCAGAATGTTTGCTTACTTGCTGATTTGATGCTTGTTCGATTATTTATGCACTTTTCCCTTATTAATGCCTTCTATTTTTTGTGTAACAATAACAGTATATATGTTTTCGATCAAGTGAATATGTTTAATATACTCCAGCCTTGTTGTTTCAATCTCAGAAGATTTACTGAAATATGGATGCTGTGTATGATTTTTCTAGTCAAACAGTTTGCACTCTTAGGAAAGCAAGTTCGGCAGTAAATGGTTTCAGTCCTCCCATGACAGCTGAAAATCATGCGACAATGCAAATTTTGTGCTCTTTGCTTTTCCCACATCTCAATGGCTATTGAAACCTCAGAGGTGGGCAGTGGAAAAAATATCTTTTGATCACTGAATTTACAAATAGCAGACACAATCCAGAAACCATAATATTTTTCTCAAATGTCAAACAAAAACTGGACACTTGTGAAACTTTGTCCATGAAAAACTGACATAATACTATTTTATTGTGACAATATATTCTTAAAAAAGATGGGTGAAACAGGTCGAAATGTTTTCCTGGATAGACGCTTCTGCTCTGCGCCTGGGTTGGTAGAGGATCCTCTGTTCTGGTGGAGCTGTGGTGGTCGGCAGAGGCAAAGATGGATGAGAAGCTTCCATGGCCTCCTGCGACATGTTAAGGTGTCGCTTTGGTGTCGAACAGGCGGAAGAAAATAGCATTGCTGCTGCCTACTGATGAGATCAAAATCAGTTTTGTATGCTGGCATGCTGCTTTTGGGTGTAATAAGGCCAAAAATCAGATAAATCTACAATCTAATTTCATTCATGCCAATTTGGTTTCTTCCACAGCTTTGGAGCCTTCTAGTGCCAGATGCATTCAACAACTTAACTGAAATGAGGCCACACCTGTGTCCAGATGCATCTGACTGATTCAACTAGAAGGAGGTCGGTCGGATTTGTGGCAAGATGCATTTCGAAGTGCTGATTGCCATACAGGAGTGATGCTTGGAGCCAAACATTTGCCAACCAAATTACCTTGTAATCAGGGATCATCAACCATTGAATTGTCATCACACGGCTCTGAGCAGTCAGCTAGTGAATGACAGGAGCCTTGCCTCTGTCTCTGTCACACCCCAGGTAGCACGCAACCCTCGTATGCTACCACACAACTCTACAAAGTTGCTGAACTCGTAGTTTTCGGCAACATCTAAATAAAAGACAAACGCAAGCGGAAAAAAAACATGTAAATAAGAAGATACACGTGGTATAACAAGCAAACTATACAAGGGGAAGAGACATGCAGGATTATTATGTCTAAAAATACAAAAGATAACATCTACTATCTTTATTATTTCATAATTCTACAATTATTATGTGATGATACAGGAGTGCAAGACGTGTTGCTAATCCCATCCCCTTCATGCCCAGGGGCGGATCCAACGGGGGGGGGCTCGAGCCCCCCCTACCCATTCCGGAGCAGTGGAACCCCTTTTTAGGCGTTCTATAGTCTAGGTGGGGCTGAGACTTAAAATCGAGCAGCAGTCGGAGGTATGTGTTGTTCAGCCCCCCTCCCCCCCTAAAATTTTTCTTTCCTGCATCCGCCGCTGTTCATGCCAGCATTCATCATTAATCACCTAGAAGAGAACAAAGGGGGTGAGATAAACTCAACGAGCAGCGGCTATGAATATACACATATCTTACACGTGTTGAGTTATTAAATTTGAAAAGCCATATGAACGTCCATAATTAAAAGGAAAGTAAACGGACAAATAAATTGTGCAGTTCATATTGTGGCGACTTTCAAACATTATCATAGGACTAGAGTACCACGTCATCATGGTATTGATATTCTCCAAAACATCAAGTATTTGATTAACAAGATTTAAACCGAAAAGGAACCATGTTAGGGGGCGATGAATAATTGAAGTACTCAACTTTCTTATGTCAACCATTAACCAACCACTCAGAGGATCAGTAATCTGCAATTCCATGTTCTGCAAATGGCATGAAATGTATATATATGCCATGATGCAACTCCATTTGAGAGTTTAATATTGGACAATGCCAACCTCTCATGCAACTCCATGTACCGGTACTAGTCACGCACCTGTAGGATGGCGTGCCCTAGCGACGGGGAGGACGAGATGGAGAGCGCCGTCTCCGACCACTCGTGAAACCGGGAAGATTGGATCGACCAGCAGGGAGACGGAGAGGTTACGGTAGAATTTCTATTTTTGTTTCCTAACCCCTTAACCTTCCTAACTGGACTCTAATTGGGCCTTTGCTTTCTCCTTCTCTAAGCCCATTAGGCCCAAAGACAAATTAATTATTTTTTTACTGGATGGCTGTTACAGTCTCTCTCCCCCTCATGCAAGTCTTTTATTTCTCTTGTCTTGTGCCTATGCCTTATACCTTTTTCGTTCATGTGTGCCAAGTGAAACTGAATGGAATGATACACGAACATGGCAGCATGTTTATCTCATCAGTTTCATGGGAAGCTACAAGCATCGTCGATCCTGTCCCTGGGGCTGCGGATGCGGTATCGGTGGCCGGCCACTGGACCAAGCAGAGGGTCCTCTGCTCCGTCCCCTGCATTCAGCGATCGACATCAAGCATCTCTAGTGCAGTCCGGGCATCGCCGGCTCCCGGAGTCTCAGGGCACCCAAACCTCTGCGTGGGAAATTACACAAGCTGCAGGAGCTCAAAGACGCCTACTACATACTCAAGAGTCCTGGTTGGTTGAGGTGTCAACCTCTGAAGGCTGTAAACCTCGACGAGCCGTGTATCCAAGTCCACCTCGGACATGTGCGCGGTGAGCAGAGCAGCGGTGGTACCTGGACTCTGGCGCCAGCAACCACATGACGGGTTCCAAGGTGGCCTTCTCTGAGCTTGACGGGAATGTGACCGGCATGGTAAAGTTTGGTGATGGCTGAAGGGTGGCGATCCGAGGGTGCGGCGCCATCATCTTCAGGTGCCAGAACAGCGAGCACCACGCGCTAACAGATGTATATTACATCCCGCAGCTGCGTTCAAGCATCATCAGCATTGGCCAGCTAGTTGAGCGCGGCAACGAGGTGCTGATCAAGGATGGCGTCCTCAGGATAAGGGACCAGGAGCAGCGGCTTCTTGTCTAGGTGAAGAGGTCCTAGAACTGGCTGTACCTGCTTGATTTGAAGGTGGAGGAGCCCATCCGCTTGGCTGCCACGGCGCACGGAGGAGCCATGGCTGTGGCATACCCGGTATGGCCATCTCAACTTTGACGCACTAGGTCGGCTGGAGAAGATGGTGACTGGGCTGCCTCACATTGAGCACGCAGGCGAGCTATGTGACTCTTGTCGCCGCCAGAAGCAAAGAAGGCCGCGTTCTCTCAAGATAGCGAAGTACCACGTAGCAGAAGCCCTCGAGCTGTTCCACGGTGACCTCTGCGGGCCGATCACGCCGGCAACACACGACAGGCACAAGTACTTCATCTTGCTAGTCGATGACTATAGCCGGTTCATGTGGCTACAGCTTCTGACCAGCAAGACTGAGGCAGCAGAAACAATCAAGAGGTTCAAGGCGCACGCGGAGGCTAAGAGCGGGAAGAAGCTGCGTGTGCTATGGACTGATCACGGCGGCGAGTTCACCTCAGTGGAGTTATTGCGTCTTTAGGCGATTATCAAGGTGTGGTGCACCACCACACCATGCCGTACACGCCGTAGCAGAATGGCGTGGTGGAGCGGCGGAACTAGACGGTTTCACCTGAAAGTATTCCAAGTATCATATCCATAGGAAAACATGTGAGATTAACTACGTCTAACTTAACCCGGAGTAGCAACAAGACTTAAGATAATAGGAGTATAGAGGAGATCACAAAGGTTTTCTAGTCCTAACTTCTGTAAGATATGTCTTCTATTGTTCAACTAGAGATATTACTAAGGGAAACATAGACAGAGTATGTTTCCTATAGTAACTAAATCTTGCTAGGCCTACAAATGGGAGGTGGACTACAAAGGATTCAATGAGGCTACAAGAGCCACCCTCGTGAGCTACCACCGATCCGGAATATAGGGTACGTCCACAAGTAACCTGGTCTAAGCACCACGCTTACACCTACAATTACTAATTTAACCTAGAGCGTCCTATAGATTAAAGCACTCAAAGAGTTGTGAACCTGATGAGCAATAT